CTATTCTAGTCTTTGGCCTACTTCAGGTTTATAAATCCTTGGAAGGCTACCAACTTTGATAGATACTTAAAGATTACAAGAGGTAACTATAGGCAAAATATTTTAATAGTAACCAAGATGAGGATAACGGTTCAAACAAATTTCCGACTGCTTTAAACTGAATGGACTGATGCAGATATCACTTGCTAGGTTGATAGTTCAATGGGTAGAGAATTAGACTGAAGGACATAATATTTATAGCAATTTGTTTTCCTTTGTATCATAGTTAATTAATATTAGATTATTTTCATAGCATCATTATTCAGTCGTTGAAATCTTTTTCTTAGTTTTCAATCAGCTTTTGACAACTTTCAACAAAATTACATATTCCACCATGTGTTACAGCATACCTACGGATGATAATGGGTTATGTCCCCATTCACATAAATACAGTAGTAAATACTGTATGTTGGTCTGCAGTTGGTGATTCATTGTTGAATTACTTGACCCACTTCTAGCAGTTGACTACTTCTGCTTTTGCTGACAAATCTTATATGTGTTATTCGTGTCCTAAGTATTATCATTCATTATCAACCATCGTGCAATTATTCTATTCAGTAACCTTCCTTAGGTTATAACACCATGTTTGATTAATGCAAAAGATTTTCGACAAATTCTTATAGTCATATAAATTCTTAGTGCCGTTTGTTCAATCATTAAAGTATTTTCCATAGCTTTTATGCCAATTTGCACCTAAATTGGGTATTCTATCATAAAAATAAAGATTTTGGTTTTGATCGTAAATATTCAAAAGGTGAGATATTTTCTAAATATTTTGAGGGTGTAGTGTAATTTAAAAATTCCCTTTTTACTTATGACCTCAACAGGCAAATAACATTTTTGTAAGTGAAAATTGTTTAAAAACATAAAGTTCTCACAAAATTATGTGACATGATGCTGAATAGCATAAATTTTGAGGCAATCTTGAACCTTCATGTTCATAAATAAATGGAATGTCAAAATGAGCAGTTTTTTCCCTTGACACCATTATTATTTTAACTACCTTCACTCCTCAGCAATGTTTATTATTTGTAAAAGCAATGACTAGAATTTTGATAAAACTTAATATTTAATACTTTTCTTGCAAATTCTCAAGAACAAAAAACATATAAATTCACTTTCATCATATATTTAGCTTTTATTACAATTCTAATCATCACTTTTGAAAACAATAAATATTGTCGGTGTGAAGGTAGTTAAAATAATAGCAGTGTCGAGGGAAAAAATCTCCTTTTGATAATCCTTTTTCTGCAGGCATGAAGATCCATCATATTCAAATATTCTTTAAAGCATTCAGTGATGGAATAAATAACATAATGGTTATTAATAGTCATCAGTAATAAAAGAAATTGCCAACATTGTTTAAGAAGATTCTTAATCCTGTCAGTTGACACAAGTATTTTATGCTGACTACCTTGAGGTTGGTGATGAGAATGAAGTTTTTTCATTTTCTTTTTTTTTTTTCCTGTGGATAAAATAACATCATCTTTGCACATAAAAGGATTTCTTCAAGAATTTCAAATTCCATAGCCCATTCCAAACATAATAGGCTGCTGAAGAGAGTTACACCCGGGAGGTTATCTTCAAAATAAATACACATCTGTTAAAGTTTTTCCTTTCTTGGAATTCTCCATTTTATCCTTTTATTATAGACCAATGGATTTAGCACAATGGAAGGAAATGAAAATGAAACACCACAAAACAAACCTGAAAGGATGTGACGTGACATAAATGATTCCAGCACAGAAGGTTGGCAGGTGCATTGATCTGTTAAATCTAAGAATATCATATTAGCTTCTGGCTTTAGTATATCAGATTGGTTTCCAGCATCAATCCTCATACCCTGATGGATGTCTTTGTTATATCAGTGAATCCATCATGGAAATGTTTTTGATTTGGTGAACCGGTTGGAACCTTTGACCAGATAAATTGTCTTATGTGGTATAAAACAAATGATTAGGTAACAGGTCTGCAGAATAAGTGGCATGTGGAAGAACTTACCATTCCAATTCCATCTACTGCATTATCTTGGCAATAGGAAGACCAGTGAGGCCATTGCCATGAAGTGGAATTCCCAGTTGACTCTCTTGAACAGAGAAACAAAAAATCTTTCCTTTAAAATCTTTCATTCAAACACACCATTTGCTCATTGTATCTTTTCATGGCAACAGTTTTTATAGATTCTAGTAATTCATAATGCATTATTCTTTAACCCTCTCTAAACTAAAGCTACAATCTTCTGTAGATTCTATTTAGACTGAGATATTGAAATATATTGAAAAAGAGATGCCACCCCAAAATGCTGGCTAATTTATGTCAATTACATGAAATCAGTTCAATTAATTCTTGTTGATTTCCTCATCATTTCCATATCAAAGTTCAGAAAATCAAAGTACAGATAATCAAATAAGTAGTATACTCTTACAAAGTTAAAGAAGATTTTAGACTTTATAGTTTACGTATATGAAATGGGAGATCAGTTTTCAGTTGTTATTAAGTAATAAATTGATCACTGACCTTTTTTAATAGAAATTTTAAAATGTATTGCAGTAATTTAAATATCTTGTTTGAAGTTTTAATCTTGGTTTTAATTGGAAGAAAATATAAAAAAGTTAGTTAAAGGAAATAAAAAATTCATTTTCTCGCTCAAATTTCTCTTACATATTCCTAAGTCTACCATTCGTCCTTGCTTTCAATATTGCTGCCACATGTGATAGGGTACTCCTATATACTTGAAGATTCTTGATAAAATCCAAAGAAGAATCTGCAATGTCAATGGTCCTGACCCGACATCTCGGCTTCAGTCACTTTCCCTCTGCTGTAATGTAGCTTCCATGTACCTTTTCTATAGAAGCTTTCATGGTAACTATTCTGATGAACTTTCTTGTATAACATTTTTAAATTTTGCTATTTGAAAATTACAGACAAATTGTACATATGGGAACTAGTTAGGATTTCAAAGAGATCTTGATTAATTATGGTGGCTGTGGAAAGAATGGTAAGTAAGAATGTGTTGTTTAGGAATACTGTGATATGTTTAAGTCAGTAATTATGGCTAGCTAGGTTTAATTATAAGACAGATTAAAGACCAGCCTTATCCCATCCCTCTTTTGACCTTGTGCCACATTTTTGCATTTGCAAAATATAACTTTCATCTATTGTACTTAGATTTTATAAATTTAAGCATAGTACTAGATTGGCAGTGAGATTTCATCGTTTTACAGTTGAAATGTCAAGAGATTTAACTGTAAGTCCTATGCTAGCAGTTTCTTCTCTTACACATTTTGCTTGTGGAACTCTCTGCCAGTTTCCTGCTTTGCAGCCAAATTTGATCTTCAAAAATTTAAGTGCAATTTCAATCATTCTCTGCTGTCTTCTTGTTCCTGTTCATTTATTGTTCTCTCTCTTTAATAGTATTTTTCTCATATTCTCTAACCTCCTTGTGTCTCAATGGCTTTTATTGCCTTGCTTGGGGTGAAATGATTAAAAAAACAAAATATCAGAAAAAAAAAAGAGTTTATTGTATCCCTTCATAGAAACCTCTTAATTGTTTGAATGTTTGAAATCAAAATGTTTGATAGAAAATTAGAATTGTAAAGAAATATCTTATTCTAATTGTTAATATATCTTTTGCAAGTATAAAAATATGAAATGTATTCAATTCTCTTTAATATTTTTAACGCTTTTGCTTTCATTATTATTATTTTCATCTATAAAAAAAGTTAAATAAAATATAATTGCAGTTGTTTTATTACATCAATTTACAGTAAAAAAAAATTGCTGAAAGCTCAAGTCCTCTCATTTTATTAGTTTATTTATTTAGTTAAGCAACATTGAGAATCATCACTACTTACATGGGGGATTTCTTGAGAAAACTGGATATGTAAATTCAACAAAATTCCTGAATTTTGGATGAGAGTTTTTTTTTTTAAATTATTATTTCAACCAAGGAATGCAGTAAGATGGAAGATGTTACTGAGGAGAAAAGGACGATAAAAAAATAGGATTCAAGGTAACCATGATGATTGATGTCACATTTAAATTTTTGTCGATCATAATTAACAGGAAAGCAAGAATCCAGAAGAGAGTTCTACAGGCAAGAAGTGTGAAAGAAGAAAACATTAGCATAGAACTTACAGTTACATCTATCAATTTCAGCAATAAAATAATGAGACTCTGCTGCCAATTTAGTGCTCCGCTTACATTCATGATGTTGAGGTATCAGACTTATCAAAACAGTTGCCATGAAAATATAGAAAAGGCTGAAGGAAGTTAGGAGGTGGTAAAAGATGGTGTTGCATATAATGAAAGCCTGTTATATTGGATCACATCTTATATCTGCTTGGTGGAAGAATGTTCTTGTTAAGGAGATACCATCTCTAAAAAAATGAGACACTGCAATTATTAGTAGGAATTGTGATCACTAATTGTACCAAGTCACTTGGAATACAGTGGAAAAACATTGCTTAGTAAATGTAGTGTTTCATTATGATTTGAGAAAGAAGTGGAGTAACATTACTTGAATATTAGCCACAATTGAAAAAAATATATTTCAACATGAATCCATCTCATCTTCTGCATCAGCTATGGGTTAAATAACTGGAAAAACTAGGTTCTCTACACATGGTTGGCAGCCAGTCTATGGGAAACATAATTCTGAATTCAAAACCAGTTTGCAGGCCTGCTGAAGTGCACTCTATACAGATGTGGTATTAACTATAGTCCAGAGTTGTTGCCAGACTGACCTTGGCTACAGTCATAGGGGTTAGTGCCTTGTATAACAAAGAGAAGCTGAGGCCTGAATTTTAGATTTAAATTCCTGAGATAGTTTTACATGCAATGTCATTTTGTCCAGAACTATATATGGTATACAATCTGAAATATTTGTTGTCTTTTGCGTTTAAATAAACTTGAAGATTTTTCTTTTAAAGTTGGTTATTTATTTTCTTTCTTTTTAACAGGTGCGCGTCTTTGCAAACAAAGAGAACATCCACCTGACGTCTTATGCTTTGGATAATGCTGTTACAATTCTTGATTATTTTGAAAAATTTTATGGTTTGCCTTATCCGTTGCCGAAATTGGGTAAGTTATGTTTGACTCTTTCACTTGTTGATTGGTTAGTTTTTAGAGGTACTTGAGACATTGTACACATCTTTCATGATCTCCATCTATGCACTGACATGACACCATGATCGTTGTCAATGGTTGACTGGTGATCTAATTTATATTTCTAAAGAAAGAAAAATATTTATGTTAAAATAATGCGATACCATGAACTGTCTGGTTTGTGTCACTTATAGACTATAATGTGAGAAGTGACTTTGTAATCTTGGTTGGGATTGGTCATTAGGTACAGTCTTAGGTCTGCTTAACTTAAGTGTTGTTTTCATTTGATAAAGGAATTGTTTGCTGGAATAAGTAACACAAAGCAAATCTTTACAGGCCAGGTTTGTTTTGATCAGGGATATGACACACATTCAGATGAAGATGATTGATGACACCTGTGATAATAAGGTCAAATGAGGGTGAGATTCCGAAACATGGTAAATGTTCCGTTGAATGAGTGATTCTAATATGATACCATGACTGGCATCAAAGTTTGACTGGTGATCTACTGTTTATTTTTAAAGAAAGAAAAATATTTTCATGTGAAAACAATGTGATACCATGCATTTTCTTCTTTGTATCAGTTATGGAGTATAGTGTGAGAGGTGAAATTGTAATCTTGGGCAGGATTGGTTATTAGCTACAGTCTTAGTTCTGTTTAACTTAAGGGTTTACTTGATAAAGGAATTGTTCAATGGAATAAGTGGCACAAAGCAAATCTTCACAGGTTAGGTTGGTTTTTTATCAGGGATATAACACTTTCAGATAGAATCAGGTAGAATTGCCAATGACACCTGTGATAATCTGGTTAAATGAAGGTGGAATTCTGGAACATGGAAAATGTTCTACTGAAGGTGGATATGAGCGATGCATTATACTTACAACACAGGGTCATTATTTTGATTGGACCTCCAAACATAGTGGGTTCTTGAGGGCTTTACTTCCTCCCCTTCAAGGCATATGACACAATACCATTAGTCAAGCATTATTATTGGTCACCCAATACCTTTGGTCAAGCAATATTATTGGCTAGCCAATCAGAACAGTGAAGTTGGGGTTTGCACCCTTATAAAAGCAATTGCTGAAAGAACAGAAATAAGATCAAATTAGACCAACACTCTCCCTGTCAGATGACCATGTTGCTTTAATCAGCTGATGACCTTATTTCTATTCCACTTTTTGAACTTGCTCCATCAGCTGCCTTCATTTAAATAGTTGAACATCTCTAGGCTCTTTCGCCATAACTACAACTGCCATTCAACCTCTTCATCCAAATTTAAAAATTCCTTATATGGGGAAACTTCTTCAAATCCCTTTTGTTTATATATTCATGAGTTTAATTATATTACCATAAATAAAAGTTGTTATTTTTACACTTGTTAATGAGTGTTGTTGAAGTTAATTAAGTTTCCCGGCATCACTTTTCACAAGCATAGTCAGGACAGAGAGGAATCAAGCCTGGTTTTCGACAATTCTTCACCAATATTCCTGCATATATTGTAATACAAGAACACAATGTGGGGACACAGGATTGGTGCAGAGTGGGCTTGTCAGAGACGGACCAGTGAACATGAACCAAAGTAAGAGTGGCATTCAGTGAAGCATGAAGCAACAGGACCACACTGACTGCAGTTTATCAAGACTGAAAATAGATATAACAGCCATTTTGCTGTCATAAAGTAGATAAAATCATGAAGAGTAAACAAAATCTCGCTGGATTCACTCATGCCCTCATTTCTCTTTCTGATATCATAGCATGCTAGTGACAAAACTATAATCAAGATAACTGATTATGGTGAAAGAGTACAAAGAGCGTTAGGTTCATGCCTTTTGTTAAAGGACTTAAAATGTAAATCACTTTTCCTTTAATTTTTTATTTTTTAATTTTTTTAGATTATTCATATATCAAATAATTTTTTCCTCAAAAATCACAAAAATACATGTATAAACATCTATTGTGCTCTTTCTCTTTTCTCACTTTTATTCTAAGCTAAATTTGTCATTTTGAGTATTGTTGTTTTGTCTCTAATTAAATTTACTGTCCACAGATTTCAATGGCACTAACCTACAGTCTTTTCTTTGTAAGTGGCTTAATCAAATATGTGACAAAATATATTTTTCCTATCTTTATAAAAATGATTGCTTCCTTTTTTTATAAAATTTAATAATCGTCCTTATAAAAAAAATTCCAGCAAGAAATGTTTCAATTGTTTTTATTTATCTTGTGTGAAACATTTGATTGATGCTTTGTAACATGATAACAGTATAGGGTCTTATTAGTTTCAGTCTAATATTTATCTTTTGAAGTCAAGTTTCTTCCCTTTGTTAAACCATATTATTTCCTTTATATTCCTTGCCACAACTGGATGAGATGGAATATATGCAGTTCTTAGTTATGTTTTCTTGATTTATTACACTTAAACCAGTTTCAGTGAAAATAGTCCTGGGAGATCAGATAAGAGTTTTAGATTATTTACAAGATGAAGTATTACTTTTGAATGCTGTATATTTTTTTTTTCCAAATTTGGATATACATTTTCATTTCATTTTAATTCAATAAATCTTCACTAAATGTTTTCTAAAGTCTACTGTTCAAATGGGCTGGGATATAACAATAAGTTCTATTATAATAGTTTCTTCTCTCACATTTTATACCTGAGGAACTCTCCCTGATTTCTTCCTTTCATGTTAACAACGATCTTCAAAAATTTTTTTTCAGTTTCCTTCTCTCAGTAACCTTGTGTCTTAGTGAGTTTATGCCTTGCTTGAAGGTGAAATGATTAAAAAGAAAAAAAGGAGGCTAACTTAATACAGTCAAATTTTCATGAGAAAATCTCCATTTTCCAGAATTAAATTTAACTCTCAAGTAAGTCAAATTACCCTTGATGAAAGACACTATTCTTTGCCGCTTATTTCATTAAAATCAAAAATGTTTAATCTATCATTTTTTTTTATACAAGCAAATAAAGGCAAACAATTCAAAACATTTTTAATTTTATTTCCGTTTATTCAAACTTTTATTTTTTTTAAAGAAGTTTTTCTTTTATGAAATCAATGTGGAAAGTGGCTCTGCACACTTTTTATTAACCTAACAAGAAAAAAACTCTCATTTCCAATTAAGTGGTTAAAAAATATTTTCCTCTGCAATCTGGAGTCATTTACTAAACTCACAAATATATATATATATATTTAATCATTTCACCTTAAGTATATGTTGTCTCTCATTTTTAAAATTCTAAAGATTGAACACAACAGCCAACTGAGAAAGGCTTCATTTGTTAAATTGCTGTGTAAAAAAAAAAAAAAAAAAAAAAAAGACAATGAAGAAAGTTGTCCAAATAATTTATGGAATAATGATATTTTTGTTTCTTATATTAATCATTTCACCCCAAACAAGGCAATAAAACCCACTATGATGCAAGGGGTTACTGAGAATGAAAAAAAAACACACAGAGGACAATAAAAAAAACAGAATTCATGAAGATGACAATTGACATTGTATTTCAATTTTTGAAGATTGTATTTAACAGAAAATCAGGAAGCCAGAAGAAAATTGCAGGAAAATAAACTACAGGGTGTGATGGGTAAATTGTTGAAATTTTTAATTTCACACATGCATATCGTTTGTTTTTGATTTTGTCAACTGCAATATATAGTAGGATCAGTTGGGCACCATCTGTGAGAAAAAGAGCACCATGATGCAATTCACTCTGCCGGAACTTTGGAAATGGCATGCTGTACTGCTTGGTATCCATGCTCCAATACAAACATTTCAGAATGTTTGTGTATCAATCTGAGGACAGTGAGGAGGATTTGGAAAGAGTTGGAGGAGTTAAATGGTGATTATGAAGGCACAGCAGCTCGAAAATATCATTCTGATAAGAAAAGAATTCCCAGAATTGTTGGTGAGATCCAGCCCATAATTGACAACGATCCCTTTAAGTGAATCAGGTCCATAGCCAGGGAGAAAGGAGTGTCTTGAGTTTCTTAAGAGGCAGGTAGGGCATGAAGACATTTAATATTTCTCATACAAGATGAGAAAGGGACAATTTTTATCCCAAGCCATGAAGGACAAAGGAAAACCGTACTACAAAGCCTTTGAAATAACTCAAGCATCCCCTGCAACTGAATGATGCTTTGCTTTTTCTCAGACGAGAACATTTTCTGTCAGGATATGATGGTGAACATACAGAACTGCTGGCTTGCTGTGTCTGCAAAATACATTATGCTACCTTTCATCTTCTCACAGGGCCTTAGACTCAACATGGAGGCCTACATAAAGTGCCTTGAGGAGGTAGTGCTGCCCTGGGTCAAGAGGTTGGCTGCTGGAAGACTCTGTGTGGTAACAGGATTCTGCATTATGCCACACAAGCAAGAGAACCCAGTGATGGCTGTCAGACTATTTCTGCAACCACATCACCCCTTAAATTTGGCTACATAACTCCCCAACTTTCAACATCCTTATTATGAGTGGGGCACAGTTGAATGAGAGACCAACAAAACTCCTTGTAACACCAATATGAACTGAAGACAAGGATTATGGCAGCATTCACCAACTTAAACAAGGAGATGATCTTGAAGTGTTGCAGGAGATTCTGTAGTTGTCTGGAAGCCATGGTTGAAGCCACTGGTGATTTTATTGAATAAATTTCCCCTTAGTATTTCACGATATTTTTGCCTATTTTTGGTAAATATATATATATATATATATATATTAAAATGACGTTGTCAATGTTATTTTCATTTTTGCATAATTTAGATGACAATTTATCCATTGCGCACTGTAATAGCAAATAACTTGTGGATACAATTAACAATTTCAGCTGTGAAATTAAGAGTACTGGGCTTAAATATGTGAAATCAAGGTACCAATGAGGAAAGCGATATTTATTCTGTTTAAAATACAGAAATGTGGCACAAGGCCGAAAAGGGGATTGGGGAAAGGACGGTCTTCTTCTGTCTTAACTATAACTTAG